TATCACCATTCAACTCCAAATGGCACAATAAAATTATAAATTTAATTACCAAATTTTTAATCCTCCATATATAAATATGCAAAGCAGCATACTCTTACACATTTATTTTTTTGTTACCAACAAACTTTCCTAACCAATAACTATTTTTATTAGAAATATAATAATTCAAGTTTTTATGAAAAAATAATAATAAATTAATATTTAATTAAAAAATAGGGTAAAAAGTACGGACTTCCCATGAGTTTTAACAATATTATGCGGACACCCATTGATATTTTATAAATAACACAAAAATCTCTGGAGTTTAAAATTTATTACACAGAGACCTTTTTTGTCTCCCTTCCTTCAATTTTGCTAACAAAAATTGATGATTTTATCCTCCAAAAAAATTATTATTTTTATAATTGTCTTTCTCCAACTTTAGTACCCAAAAAATTTAAAAATTTAATAAAATAAAATAAGATTTGATTTAGCACCCAAAAAATTGATATAATTTATTACCCCAAAAAATTGATTAAATAAATTTTAATATTAATTTGATAACAATAAAAATTAATTTGATATTAATTCAACAAAGTTGAATATAAATTGGACAAATTAAATGTTAATTTTTTATAAAAATATATATTAATTTACAATTTAAGATTCATTTCGTGTTGAATATTATTCGTTGTTGATTAAACCAACATGAAATTGACCTTAAATTATAATTTTTTTTGTTGTATATAAATTTAAAAATTTGTATTTTAACCCATAAAATTTAAATACATATTTTTTCATACCATAACGTATTCTCTCTTACTATATCATTTGATAAATTTTATTTTGATCATACTTAAACCAAACCAATTGTTCACCCCCATTTTTTTTAAGAGAATTGTTTACCTCCACTTATTAAATTCAAAAATCTCTAGTTCACATGAAAATAAGTGAAAGTAAATAAAAAAGTTGACAAAATTTTTTGAAAAATTGATAGTTCAAACAAAATTTAAAAAATTAGTACCAAAATTATAACAAATAGAACAAACATTAAAAAAACTAAAAAAATAATCTATATAAAAATCATTATCAATGAGAATTTTAGAATAATTTAGGCCTTCAATCAATTAAAACATAATTTCAGGCAAAGATGTGAAACTCAGATAAAAAAAATCCTCAAATCGTGAAAAATGTGTGCTATTTTTTATTTATATTAAGTGTTATTTACAAATTAAGAAGCAAGTGATAAAATACATGTTGTCAAATATATAAAATTTTAAATTATGAAATAAATAATTGCATAACATGTAGTTTCGTATGTTTTATGGAGTAAATAATAAATAACACTTGAAAAACAGAAAAAATAAGATAATAATACAAGAGAGAGACATATAAAAAAAAGAGTATAAAACAGATATAAAGAGAGTTAGATGAGCAATAAGAGTCTTAGAAAAATTTGGCATGAGAACCGTCAGATCAATAATTGTCAAGCGATTTGAGCCGCGAAAAGTTAAAGATAAAGAATTCTAACTCCTTTATTATATAGATTATTCAAGATTTTTTTTTTGTTTTTTTAACGCAAAGTTGTTTGGGTCAATTTATTCGTATTTCGATTAATCGCTTCTTCGATTCCATCAAAGGCAGACCATTCACGCCGATACTAAAATATCCATAAGCGACCCTCATTACCTAATCTCAAGAGTTTGTCAAGAATCAAATTCACCATGTCTGAATTTATAAGTTATCTCTATTTTCATAATTTAATGTTCTGTTTTGTACGATGGAAAAAATAGAAAGATGAAAAGTTTGAGGGATAAATAAAAAACCTCAATCAAAACTCCAAATATTATGTTGCCATATCATTTGGAGCCAAAATTTGGTCACTGTAGTATTACTGAAATAAAAAATCATGTTTGGTAAGAAAGAAAAATAGGAAAAATGAAAAAATTGATGAATTAACGTTCTTTTCAGGTTTTCAAAATCAATCCCTACAAAATCGAAAGAAAAGTGGATGAAAAGTTAATTATTTGTGTTGAGATATATCTTATTTGTCTATATATTATATATACATTAATTTCATATAAAAATATAATGATAAAATATGTATATGTATATATATATAATTTAAAATAAATAAAAAAATATTTTATTAAAAAAAATATTTTTTTCATCTTAACTGGGAGTGAAAATTTTTGACTCAACACAATGATACGACTTGAACTCGACACAAATTTTATGACATAAACTTGATTATAACTCGACAGAACTTGAAAATGACCTAGCACGCGAACAAAAAATAAAAAAAACTCATAATTTTATGACTCAACACGAATTTGACACAACACCACTCGATTGTTACCCTTAATCTTAGCCATCACAAAAAAAAAATTAATCATTTTTATTTTTCATCAATCTAACCAAATACAAAGAAAGGAAAGTATATCATTCATTTTTTTTATTTTTGAAAGATAGAAAGTGTATCCCTTCTACTTTCCATCATTCCTCCCAAACAAAACATAAGTGATTGTATATTTGTTGGTTTCTGCGTTACAAACATCATACATATGGGATGTTTGCTTATACGACAGTAATTGTTTTGTGTTAAGATAAATATTTGCTTATATTTGATCACACCTCGATGATGCACATTAAACTACAATCGTATGAGTAGTATAAATTAAGATATGAAATGCAATATTGAATTTAATGCTCCGTTTGACACGATAGAAAAATAAGAGGATGAAAAGTTAGAGGAATAAATAAAATATTATGTTTGGTAAGGAAGGATGGAAAAGTTGATGAATTAATTTTCTTTCCAACTTACCAAAATCACTCCCTCCAAAATCGGAAGGAAAGTGGATGAAAAATTAATTATTTGTATTGAGATGTATCTTATTTGTCTATATATCTTTATATATATATATTATGTATACATTAATTTCATATAAAAATACAACGGTATATATATATATATATATATATATATATATTTAAAAAAATTTAAAAATAAAAGAAAAATTAAAAAATTAAAAACAAAAATTATAAATTAAAAAAAATATATTTTTTTATCTTAATTAAGGGTGAAAATTTTCGACTCAACACGATGACACGTTTCGAACTCGATACGAAAAGAAACAAATCAACTCGCAACTTGACACGATACAATAGTTAAATGAGTTAAGTTAGGTTTGACTAATATTCGACACAAACCTGTTATAATTCAACACGAATCTGATACGACACGACTCGATTGTCACTTATAATCTTAGCCATCACGAAAAAAAATAGTTATTTTTATTTTTTATCCATCCAACCAAATACAAAGGAAGGAAAATTGTATCTTTCCTATTTTCTATTCTTGAAGGATAGAAAATGTATCATTCCTACTTTTCATCCTTCTTACTTTTCATCATCCCTACCAAACGGAGCCTAATTCTAAGAATTAGGACTCAGTTCCTATCCCAATGGGTGAGTAACCCACTAAGATGCGGAGGTTTCCAAGTTAATTTTCTTGTATCTTAATTCTAACAATTTAATGCATTATTATCATTAAACTAACAATAAATTTCATTGTCAAATGATATTCACTTTATTTTAACGACTGTAATACATTAAGACGCAAAGTTGTCGTTGAAAATACTATTAGAGTGTGTTTCCTTTAGATATTAGTTAAAAAAGATTGAAACAAATAACGTCGGGTTTATCTTATCCCTCTTATACTCTTATTTGAATACGCATTTTGAGTCTAGTATTATCGTCAAAAAATAATATCAGTCTGGATGAATAGTATATTTAATACTACATATAACCTCAGTAATGCTACATTGACTAAATTTTAGGATCAAATTAAGAGCTCAAATGACATGAAAAACTGACTTGGCCTTCTTTATCTGATGTTATGTCATTTGGGCCTCCAATAAAAACTTCAAATAATATACTGCCACGTCATTTAGACTTTTAATTTGATCAACATAACATTATTAAATCTCTTAAATAAACCTACTTTTTTGGTGGATTTAAAAAGTCAAATTGGGAAGTATTTGGTTAAAAGATATTTTTACCCTCAATTATTTTTAGGATATCACTATTTATCTTGAAGGTTTTTTTAATAATTTAATATTTATACCATAATTTAATATTTCATCAGAATAAAATATTAGATGAGATAAATGTGGGCCCACTATTTAGTAATATTTAAACCAAATATGGGATTAAGAGGGATTATTACTATAATTAGTTCAAGGACTGAATGGATTGATAAGAGATGAACAATCTTATATAATTCGGTCATTCCTAATACTTAAATCAAACATATTCTTATTATAAACACTATTTTGAATTTTGATTTATTAATTGTACTGGTCAAGCTAGTTTTGAATTATCTGGCATAATTGATTGAAAAGTTCAAATTGCGAATTGTAATTTTATTTTTTTTAAACAAATTTGTGTAATATTATTTATATCTGAAAAACAGAACTAGTTTTCCGACTTAATAATATAATAGTTATGAAGATCTAATAATTTTCAGCCCCACTAGTATTATTATCAAAATTTACATCAAATTTGTGTGGTTGTACTTTCATGCATGCCCTAAAATTAGAAGTGTTAAAATATAACACGACACTAATACACCATAAAATTAAAAGATTTGAGTTTTCTTTAAATTACATGTGTTTGTAACCAAATGGAGGCAATACGACATAATTAATAAATAATAAATAAATTAAATATAAATAAAGCTATAAAAAAAATACATAATATGACTTAATTTGACATATTATAATTCGTTAGACCGACATCAATTTATATCGATTAGACATTATATACATGTGCCTACACGTCTGCTCGTAGGCCACGTATATACGCGTGTCATTCACCCACATGCACCATATTACTGCTGTGTTCTTATATTTCACCGCATGCAGGAAAAAAACACAATTTCATCGCCAACTACCAAAAATTCTTTTGTTCTTGCCAGTATGTGCAGTGTCTCTACAATCTCATGTTTCTCATCCAACCTCATGATGAAGAAGACGATCCAGTTTTATGCATCAACCTCAACGAAAATAAAACCATCATCACTCTTTCAATCTTACAGTCTGAATCCAATCTTTCTTTCGGGTCAAAAGCTAGCCCATGATCCATCTCACGCGCCGCCGGAGCAGCGTCGGACTCCTAATGTTCCAGACTTTGATCCATTGTTGCTATCAGAAAAGCCTTCTGATCCACCACCATCATCTCCTGGGCCGAATCCAGGCCCACCGATGCCGTCCCCACCTCGGCCTGATGGTCCACGGCCGCCGACACCTTCGCCGCCCGGTCCAGACATCCCTCGGGGTCCACCAGAAGTATTTCCGCCGCGTGCACCTGAGATTATAAAGCCAAAGCCGCCGGATCCTGGGCCGCCACCCCCAAAGTATGTGGCCGGATAATCGAAAGTCGGTGGCAGCCTCGTTTATGTCCCTTGTTGTCTAAGTGGTGGAAAGCTTGTGATAAACATGTAAACGATTACCCAGTTAGGGTTGTCTAGTATTGAAATTGTTGCATTTTACAAATACTCTAATGCTATCAACATATAATTTAATAATATAATTTATTAACTTAATTTCTCATCATAACTATCAGATTTGTTGGGTCATGGTATTTATGGGTACTGAAATTTACTATCAATTAGTAAATTAAATATAAAAAAACATTATTCTTTCTTTTTATGCACAAATAATGCTATTAAAAATTTAAAAATTAAAAAATTGACATAATTATGGATTTGTAAATGGTAAAACATTGCTGAACTTGTTTGCAGTTAAGACCATAAACTTCTCACCAATCGATTTGAATATAAATTTGATAAAAGAGGACTTAAAGTGAATATTTTTTTTTAATTTCATAGTAAGAGGTGTTTAGATTAATATTTTCTCCTGTTTAATTAAAAACATACTAGTTATGATTTTAAGAGATTGTCAATATTTAAGTTTAAGATATCTGAATTTATAACTCGTTTTACTTACTATTTAAAGTGAATACTTATTGGTGGGACTCTAGGGTGACTCTTCAGCTCTTAGGTTGACACGTGGAATAAGGAAACCGTTGGGATGTCCAAAAGATGCTGAGGAGGTAAGTCGAGGTATGGTGACACGGAGCGGCCGAGTACGACAGTTGATATCGTATTTAATGCGATGTTGCCTCACATTTATGGCGGAATGAGTGATAGTGACAGGGCAAATAAATGCGCGCCTGCCAGCACCTGTTCTCTAGGAGTCTAAGTCTACTATCATGATGGCTGATGCGCTGAGATGACACGATCGGCTCTCCCGAAGAATTGTTCTGCCGAGTATTCAATGCTTAGTTGGTGTCAGATGCCGACCTGCTGGATTTGGATACTCGGAGAGTGGCATAAATGCTCAGCGCATGGCCGAGCATTTACCCCATTTTCCTAGCATTCAATAGGAGGAGACATGAATAGAAAACACTCATTGCACGACGAATGGTGTGTCAGATGTGAGATGTCCATAAGAGATTGAAATTTTTTGACAATCATTGCTAATTCAGGTATAAATATTTTTCAGAAAAATGGATAAAGGTACGCAAACTCGAACAAAAAAAAGTCCATTAAGTAAAACTCTTCGATCTTACACTGACTTAAGCTTCGGAGGAAATTAGCCGGGCACACGCCTGGCCCCCGTTTTTTTTCCTGACCCAGTTGTTTCAGGTTCGCCGATTAGGAGTTCGCTGCCTCACACGATTGTAGGAATTATTTCGTGCAGTTATCTAAATTTCGAGTATAGTGTTGGTACGGTCCACATCTTTTATGATTCGGGAAATCCTAAGTTTATTTTCATTAATCATTAGACCATAGGCTGAGGATAATCCCCATTAAGTTCACAGAGCAATACAAACTCATTTACCCTCTCTTTTGTCTAAAAGATATCAAAAATATTTCTTAAGGTGCATGAGATTTGTACGTGATATTTTTTGTCCTAATTAGTGTTAAGGATTATATTAGTTCAATGTTTAAATTTTAGAGATAAAATTGATAAAATTAAAAGTTTAAGGATCAAATTATAATAAGTGATAAATTTTAGGGATTATTGGTATAATTTATTCTATTTTTTAATTCCATATGCCGACACTTTCCTGTAAGCCCTCCAGGCGTCCTAGTAAAGCCACGTATATGCACGTGTCAAACACCCGCATGCAACATCTTTCTCCTACTCACTTAATCTTCCACCTCTTGCAAACCCACCTTAATATTACTTCATTTTTACTAGTAAAAGTTAGGTGATGTTTTGCAACATGTCCACCGTCTCTGCAGTCTCATTGAACCTCATAAAGAAAACTACACCTTTTTCTCCATTAATCTCAACCATAGCCAAACCATCATCTGTGTCTCAATCTTCCAATGCCATCTCTCTCAAAGAAATCAACCCTATCCACGGCTGCCCAGCTTCAATCTCTCTAATTTCCGGCCAAATGCGTCACCACCAATCTGACGTGCCTCTAAGAACTCCGCCGGAGTTTCCCTCGGAGCCACCCGAGCACAATCCCGCTGTGCCTCCGGAGGTGCTTTGGACCCCTAATGTTCCGGACTACGACCCAATTCCGCCAGAAAAGCCTGCTGATACTCCACCTCTGTCTCCAGGGCCGACGCCTGATTTTCTGGGGTCACCGATGCCATCGACGCCGCCTCCTGACATTCCGCTGCCACCGATGCCGTCGCGGCCGCCTCCTGACATTCCGCAGCCGCCGATGCCTTCGTGGCCAGGTCCCGACATCCCGCAGGGGCCGCCGGATGTGTTTCCGCCACGCGCTCCTGATTTTATCCCTCCGAAGCCACCTGATGTTGGGCCACCAGACCCACAGTCGCCGGAAATTCCACCACCGGTGTGTGACTAGGTGGGACGTCCAATTGTTATTTAGTAGGTGGCAGGCTAGTTTGTATTAATTCATGTGAATAAGTTTCAAGAGTGTTGTCTGGTATTAAGTTCGCTAATTAAGGTGAGTAAATTAACCTAGACTCGTTGTAACTTATTGTTTTCACAAGTTTACTTAGCTCACCTATCATGTACTGACCTAATGCCTATTATTTATATGTGTTTTTTTTTTATCTAAATACGATTGATTGTTTATCAATGAGTGATCTATCGTGTATTCAGGTTAGACTCATTATTTATGTGTATTAGAAAATATTTAGATAATTTTTTTTATTGCAGTTTTAAGTTATTAAGTTGAGTTTCATGTTCCAATCTTTCATTTATGGTCAATCGTTGACTTCAAATTAGGATAAAAATAAATCTCCCAATATAAGGAGATAATGTATTTTAGAATTCTTTTTTTGTTATGAAAATTAAGGCAAAAGTTAACCGGGGCAATTTTAATCAAATTAATTAATTCATAGTTTGGGCGATGTAAGAAATTAAGTTGATAGTTTGGAGGATAATATAAAATGAGGGGCATAGTTTAGGGGTCTTAGTGTAATTTGACTTAAGTTGATGAAATGGTAAATTTGCAAGCACAAAGTTGATGAAATGGGAAGTTTGCAAACACAGAGCTGCTGAAAAGGTAAATTTGCAAAAACACGTGTGAAATTCTTGTGTTCCACGGAATCTTTAATTAGAACAGATGGGTGGATAATAATATATATATATATATACACTAGTTATTACACGTGTTTAAAAACACAAAGTAATAAAAAATAAAAAATAAAAAATATATTTGTATTTATATTTAAAATCAAATCACAAGCATAAAGAAGAGATAACAAAATTTAAGTATTGATTTGTAGTGAGGGTGAGAGATGGTGGCGCGACAGTGGTAGTGGTAAGAGACGGTGATAGTTGTGGTGGGTGATACCGATCGTGGTAGCGATGGTGGCGACGAGAGTGATTGCGATACTGGTGGTGGTGTGACAGTGATGGTGACAGTGGTGGTGGTGGTGGTGGTGGGGGGGGGTGACAGCAGTGATGGTGATAGTGACGACAGTGACGATGACGATGATGATGGTGGGGGTGGGACGATGGCAGTGGGGGGGCAGTGGTGGAGGCAACAATAATGGTGGCGGTGGTAGTAGTGGTGATGGTAGAGGTAATGGTGGGACAATTTCAAACACTATTTTTTTAAATATTTATAAAAAAATAATTGTTAAAAGTACTTTTAAAAAGTCAGTTCAAATACACCTTTATTAGCTTATTTTTTTCTATTAAATTTAAGGTGTTAATATTAACCGTTAGATTAACTTTAAAATAAAATTTAGAGCGATCTCAACCGCGAATAACAAAAATCATTTTGTTTATGTTTTGAGATTTGAATTGTAAACTACTTTATAATATACTAGTTATTACCTGTGCTTGAAGGTACAGAGTAATACAAAATGGTAAACAATAAACATATTTTTATTTGTATCTAAAATCAAATCATAAATATAAAAAAAACATAAAATAATTTAAATATCGGTTTGTAGTAGAAGTGAGAGGTGGTGGGTGACAGTGGTGGTGGTAAGAGACGGTGATGGTTTTGGTGGCGACGGCGACAACGACGATGGTGGTGGTGGCGGTAGTGGTGGTGGGCGTGGCGATGGTGGAGGTGGTGGAAGTGACGATGGTGGTGATGGGGGTGGTGGTGATGACAATGGCAGTGGTGGGGGTGGTGGCGACAATGAGGATGATGACAGTGGTGGCGGCGGCTGCGGCGGTAATGGCGGTGGCGGTAAAGATAGTGGTGGAGCGGTTTGAAACACTATTTATTTTTAAAGTATGTATAAGAAATAATTTTAAAAGTACTTTTAAAAAGTCACTCCAAACACACCCTTAGAGAGCCTATTTTTCATATTAAATTTGAGTTATGAATATTAGCCGTTAGATTAACTTTAAAGCAACCGCGAATAGTAAAAATCATTTTATTTATCTTTTGAGATTTGAATTGTAAGTTATTTTATATATATATTTGGATATGTACACATTTCATCCCATATGAATTTCAAAATTTAACCAAGGAATGGCAACTCTAAAAGTCATGTTGCAGACTAAACTCCGACAGACTTATGTTTTTATTTCATGCCAAGTATGTAATGTTGAAAAAAAAATTGTAATCCTCCGTCTTATAATATGATCCTCACTTAGCCACTGGGCCAATTTAATGAAATTCCACCTTCAATACCAAATCCACTATCAATATGATTCAATCCGAACTCTTAGAATTGGGCACCCACTCTTCTAATTGCTATGTTATTCTCTCTCTTGTCTCGAAGGAATTTTGTATGTATGTTGATATCTAGTGGAGATCCAATGATTTGTCCTGTGCATCTTTACATATTGAAAATGAGTCCAAACTATATCCACACATGATAAGAGTATTTTAACACTAATGCTTCGTTTGATAGAGAGATGAAAAATATGAAGGATGAAAAGTAGGAGAGATACACTTTCTATCCTTCAAGGATGAAAAGTAGGAGAGATACACTTTATATCCTTCAAGGATGAAAAGTAAGAATGATACACTTTCTTTCATTTATGTTTGGTTGGATGGATGAAAATAAAAATAACTATTTTTAAATTTTTTTTTTTTTTTTGTGCTGGCTAAGATTAGGGGTGACAATTGAATCGAGTCGTATAATGTTAGATTCGTGTTAAGTCATTACGAGTTTCTGTCGAATATTAATCAAACCAAAATTTAATTCATTTAACTAATTGTGTCATGTCGAGTTGCGAGTTGATTTGTCTATTTTCGTATCAAATTCGAGTCGTGTTATCGTGTTGAGTTTAAAATTTTCACCCTTAGTTAACATGGAAAAAATATTTTTTTTAATTAAAATTTTTTAACTTTTTATTTTTATTTTTTTTAAAAATATATATACATATTTTACCATTATATTTTTATATGAAATTAATGTATACATAAGATATATAGACAAACAAGATGCATCTCAACACAAATAATTAACTTTCTGTCTACTTTCCTTCCGATTTTAGAGGGATTGATTTTAGTGAGTTGGAAGGAAAGTTAATTCATCAACTTTTTCATTCTTCCTACTTTCCTTTCTTACCAAACATGATGTTTTTTTTATTCTTCCAACTTTCCATCCTCTTATTTTTTCATCGTACCAAACGGAACATAAGAATAATGTTATCAGGACTTAATTTAAAAGCTTAATTGACGGATTTAATGAATTATAATCATCGGTTTCGTAGTGAGTTCTAACATTGAATGAAGTTAAATGGTAATAATCCTCGGGTCTTTAGATTAAGTTTTCAAATTAAATATAAGTAGCATTATTGTTTAACATTGTGTGTGCGTGAGAGATGGTCCTAGGTATTGGTCATGAAGACTAGGAAAATGATTCACCTTGGAAGAGTCGTACAAACTGTGGAAACTGAACTTTGTTCTTTTGTAAATTGTTGTTGCCTCTCTCTACCCATAGCATATGCAAAATGGACAAGAAGTTGAATATATTTGGCCGTCTTCCATGTTGATTTCTAAAGGTTGGAGAGAATAAAGAACCCCTTGCTTCAACCTATAAATACCACCCTCCCACATTCTCTTCTTCCCATCAAAGGAGTCACCACCAAACCATTCTCACTAGTACCTCTTCAATCTTCAAAAATCCTTAAAAATCATGTCTGTCACCACTTTTACCGAGGAGTACGCTTCTCCGATCCCGCCTTCCAGGTTATTCAAGGCATCCATCCTCGACTCCCACAACATGATTCCAAAACTCATGCCACAGGGTATTAAGAGCATTGAATTCATCGAAGGTGACGGAGGGGCTGGAAGTATTAAGCAAATCAACTTTGTTGAAGGTTAGCGATTCACCATAATTGTCACAATTTTTCTATCCAATATATATATATACACACACACACACACACTACATCATCAAAGATGAATCTCACGTGAGTCTTTTTCATGCAGGTAGAGATTTTAATACTGTGAAGTACCGCATCGACGAGCTTAATGAAAAGACATACACATATGTGCGGGCTTGATCCTGCACGATATATATAAAATATTGGGAACAGATCTCTCCCCTGGTGAACTTTGGGTGAGCCGGTTGAATGGCCAAACACACTGCTCGAAACAGCCTACCAGGAACGGTGGCAATCTGGAACGGTAAAGGAAGATCCTGGGAAAGGAGGAACGACCCTGTACGTGCGAAAGGTATTTCCTGGGACAAAAGAGAACAAGTTAGAAGGGCGCCGGAGTGTTTTCCGGCGTATCCCCTCCGACGATCTAGTCAGTCTTTGAATGAGAGAGAGAGAGGAAGGAGAAAACACTGAGAAGGATATTTCGTAGTGGTGAGTTTGTGATTTCATACCCCTTTGCCTTTTTGGGAGTGGTATTTATACCTTAGAAGCTCATGATTGCTGTCAGTGTGGTCAGCAGGTGATCATCAGGCACAGGTAGCGTGTGTATTGATTTGATGAGGAATGTCCTCTCTAATTGATTGCTCGGGGTCCCGAGCAATCAATGCTGAGCCGTCGGGACGCCGACGGTACAATATGCTCCTTTCGGGAAGGATGCAATAAATGCTCTGTAATAGGAGCATTTATTGCCTTTCATATCCGAACCTTACCGCATTGAATGCGGTCTCGTCAACAGAAGGGTGCAATTAATTTGTTTGCTTTCCCAAGTCGCGTGTCAGCGACGTCATGCGGTTTGTCTACTTCTGATGTGACATTATTTGCCACGCGTCCATCCCTTATTGGCTGTGACGTCGGTATTCCAGCGTGTTCTGACATTACTTGTGTTAAGACGAGGTTATGATGAATAGTCTAGACTGGCATAGGCTGATGTCCCGTACGTCAGTAGCTTTATCCGGGAGTAGAGGAAGCGTCCAGGATGGAGTGACCCTCGGCACCGAGGAAAGGCTCACCTCGGGGACCGAGGGTGGTATGCTCCGA